TAATTTGTTGTTCTGCACTTGCATTTCTCTCTCCTCTACACAAATCTCAACCACACAGTTTTTGGTATTCTTATTTCTCATCCACTTTGCACTTGGCAAACTCCAAAAGGACGGAGGTAGTATATTTCAGTCAAAACTATCTCACTTGTACCAGCCTTTGTCAATGTGGAGACATGCTTACAATGAACCATGCATACATTAGTGCTTACCTCTTGAAATCTAAATACTCTCTTCGTCCCTAATAACTTTGTCAAGTTTGACCGGCACATAGAATAATAAAGTAAAAACCGTGTGATTGAGACTTCTGCAGAGGAGAGAGAATGAACTGGAACCATAAATTCTTTACTTAAAAGAGAAAATGGCAAAGTTAGTGGAACATCAAAAAATGAAAAGTTGGCAAAGTTATAAGGGACAGAGGGAATATTAATTTAAATTTGCTTTTTGGCCCTTAATATAATAAATTGACATGTCAAATTCAATTTACATTGTCTCTAACTACAAATACATTTTCAAATGACTTTCTATTTTTGAGATGGCCGATTTCATTTTATTATTAATGAAAAAGTCATTTGAAAATATATTTCTAGTTAGAGTCCATGTACATTGATTTTGACATCTCAATTTAATATAACAAGGACCAAAAAGCAATTAAGTTCTAGATTTCATTGATTGATTCAAAGTTCTAGATTTCAAGAGGTAAGCAGTGATGTACGCATAGGCATGGACCGGTTCCGGTTCGGGCCCGGCCGGGCCTCGGTTCAAGAAGGGGAGGCCCGGAACCGGGCCGGGTAACCCCCAGGTTCGGGCCGGGCCGGGCCTCAGTTTTATCTTATTTTACTTTTTTTTTTGCTTTTCCTAGTTAACCCCCAACCCTCCCCCTCACCCCCAAACCAACCCTAACCACCTCAAATGGTCCAAAATACCCAGCCCAACTCAAAAACTTTAAAAAATTCAAAAAAATGGCCCGGCCCGGGCCCGAACCGTCCGGGCCTTTTGAAGGGCCCGAACCGCCATCCCACCAGGCCGGTTGGCACGAACCGGGCCCGGAACCGGTTCACCAGGCCCGCACAGTAGCGGGCCGGTCCGGTTCCGGGCCAATTGACCCGTCCCGAGTCCACCCCTATGTACGCATGATTCAATGTTCACTATTTCACTTTATAGAGTAATAGTAGTTGTTTGAAGAGCATATCAAAATTCAAATGATTAGTGATTGCGAAAAGGTTGAATATCTTCTTTTACTTGTATTATTTTAGGGGTATTTCCTAAATAGAAATAAATAAACATTAAATTTTAAGAATAGGTTTAGAAGTTTTAAATCCCCCCGAAATAGGGTAATTAGTACTTTCTGTGCCAATTCTACCTTTCACATATTAAAAAATATGACAATTTTGAAGATTAATGATTACAAAAGCATCAAATGATTACAAAAATGAAACAAGATCGCTTTTTTATACTTATTTTACAATTGTTACAAAAATGGCAACGATTGAATTTTCAATAATTACACAAAATATCTCACACATCTTAAATGATTGAATAAAATGAAAGATTACAAGTAAAAGTTCTTATTATAACGACTTCTAATTTTAAGACAAGTTCTAATTAGAACTCTCCCCTATATGTACTCATCAAATCAAATATTAGTATGTCAAATCAGATTATATCAAACAACAATAAATTTAATTCACAGTTGTTTTTTACAGTAGGAATTTACAGTTGTTTTTTTAGATTTGATAAATTTAATATTTTACATCCAGTAAAATATATATACAGCACTTTCGGTCTTAATCACTACATTTCTCGCCAACATTGTGACAATATCTATTGGTTTCGATTCACTGCATAACACCCTCTCTCAATGCTCCGCACTTCCGGTCATAATTACTACACTTCTCGCCAACGATCTGCTGTTGGAAAAATGTGTTAAAAATTGCATTAAATGGTCAGTTTGAGGCAATATTTTGAGTGGGGTCAAAGTGGTTTCGGATTGTCCTTGTTAAGGGCTACAATTTGATATATGGTACACTCAAAACGGATAACGGGTGAATGAGAGATTGATTCTCAAAGTTCACTCGTTGAAAGGGAAAAACTGGGAAAATGATGGGTTTCTAGTGGGATTTATCGCACACCGGAAAACCCAAGGGATTTTCACCCCCCTTGGTGGGCTCTCTTCATGCGGGGGAGGGGAGGGGGGAGCGGCCTGCGGACACGAATGTCCTCCAAAAATCTATCTTTCAAAGATACAATTTAATTTTTGTTTCTTCCCATAACATTTTATTTTTTTCCCAGAACCGCTTCTGTTCTATTCAGCGCACAAGAAGAGCTGTTCCGGTCGCACTAGAAGTGCTCGAGGTATTATGGTCTCCCCGGAAACAGAAATGCTCGCGTTGTTCTGGTCGCGCACCAGAAGGGTTCTGGACCGTTACAACAATAAATGTCCAACGTTCTTATCTTTTAATGTAGCGTTAAATGGATAGTTCATGGATGATTCAATGCCCAATGGACTGGTCATTGATGTCCAACGTTCAGGTCCCTTAATCCTCTATTAACACACAACAAATCCTCCTATAAATAGCTGACAGGTGCTTTGCAACAAACACGCAATCATACACAATCTGTACGTACTTTTGAGGTAAAACACACCTCCAATATTCCAAAAGTTCCGGAGTGTTCATACTTTGTTCTCGTTCGCCGGAACTTTCGTTTGTGTGCTCAAATGATCGTTCGTTAGCCACCGTATCCTGGAAAACGGTCGTTGCAACGCTCCTAGCACTGTGGGAGGCGACGAAAACGTTTTAAGGGTATCGTGCGTAGCACGATCTCTGGCTAATTTATGTCCCATCCATTTTCCATTTTTCTTTGGCTATTATATATATTAATTAATTTTACTTAATTAATATTTCTTCGTTTTTCCGAATTACACCTAACATCTGACACTGTCTATTGGCTTCGATTTACTACGCCAATCATCATGGAGTCGACGAAAGCAAAAAATAACAAGTATTATAATCACCCCCACATAGGATCGCAACGTTCTCGTTGCGCCCATAAGCCAATTCAATCTCAACATATCCCATAATCTTTCTGCTAAGTGTCCACCCAATTTCCAACGGATCAGCACACTGTCGAAGGGTTGCTCTGATACCACTTGTAACACCCCGGCCTCGCAGGACCCGTGGTAGTTACTCCAGACCTCTAGTACTGTCCTCACAAACCATGAGGCCACTAGCCATAAACGTCCACCACTAGCCATAAACGCGCACTTTGTCCTCACTCATGTGCGCTCTGAGAATCTTCTCACGGGGTCACCCATCCTAAGACTACTCATATGCAAGCACGCTTAACTTGAAGTTCTTATCATTAGCTAATGAGCTCTCTTAAAAGGAGATGCTTCTTGTTGGTATGAGTAGTACTACTATTAATCCTTTTCAATTTAATCTCAAGTATTATAGTTATCCTCTTGACACCCCACCAACCCTAATTTCAAGAAGAAGAAGAAGAAGATAACGAAGTTGCGCGGGCGGCTGGGGTTGGATTGTGGCTAACGGGGTGATTCCAAGCAAGCGATAGAGATTAAAGAGAATATGAAGTTAGGGTTTTATAATAATAGGTTAAAGGGCATACTATTCCATATAACCTATTTTTTAATTTATTTATTAAATACATTATTTCAATATTACTAATTAAATATTATTTTGACAAAAGAATAACTAGATTATAGATTGAGAAAATGAGGAAAATTTAGTTATACATAGAATAACTTTGTCAAATAAAAAGGGATAAAGCTCAAATTGAACACTATGGTTTCATGAGAATCTCACATTGGACACTAAGGTTTTAAATAGATCAAATTGGACACTATGGTTAAATATGTATCTCATATTGGACACTAAGATTTCATAATTCATAGTTTTTGGACACTCACTTATGATTCTCTTCTTCCTATAATAAAAATTGTTAGTCTTACATTTCCTTTCCTTTTTTATGAAAGTAGACCAATTTAATTACGTGTATAATTTTCGAATATTTAATTTGAAGTTTTAGAATATATAATTTGATTTTAATTAATAATTTCTTATATTTAACAATTTAAAAATATTTAGGACTTTTCATTCATATGATTTTTATGGAATGTTAAGAAATATTGATTTGTTAAATTGATTTACAAATATTAAAGAATTCAATTACATTATATCCATTCATGCTCTCTAAATAAACGATTTTTTTATTACACATCATTGTCACATCACATTTATTCAATAAATTTTAAATAATCTCAAAGTTTAAAATTCTTCATCAACAATAATACTCAAATAATCAGTTTTTTCCGGACATGCATTAAATGTAATTTAACTATGATCTAAAATAATTCGGGATTGGAATCTTGATACCGGATTTTCATTTTCAATAATCTCACTAAATAATCTCTCACTCACAATGATAATCTTTAAAATAATCTTACACATCATCTTACTGGTTGAGTGGCGGTCATCACACTAGAAAGAATAATAAAGCACAAATAATCATTTCCGAGTTTCAAAGTAAAAGGTATTATCAAATTAAGTGTGAAAATACTTAATTTAAAATGGGCGGAGATAGGGGTGGCCAACCTAGGTCTTGGACTTGGCTCAGTCCGACCCAGTGTCCTGGCTCCGCCCCTGCACGCGAGTAGTGTGAAATCCAACATATTGCACTTATTTAAGAACTGAGGTAGTATGAATTTCAAAAAAGCATAGAATCAATACTTAATTATTATATACATAAAATTAATCAATGAAATCCAACATATAACCCCGTATTATTGGCTTTTAGACCCATTCAGAAATGCTAATTGACTTTTGTTATTACTGGTTGAGTGGCGGTCATCACGCTAGAAAGAATTAATAATTAAAGCACAAATAACCATTTCCGGTAATCAAATTAATTAATTAATAGTGTAAAAGAGTATGAATTCATTAATCTTGCTGCTATATATACCCACCTCCCCCGGCCCCTTAAAAGGCACCATTGCAGCTGCATGAGTTGTTTTTGTTTACTAACTCGACAATCTCCATCAGCTCCGATCCATTCCATTGAAAGGAAAAAATCAATGAAACAGGAACAAGCGGCAAGAAGGGTGCTTAAAACAGAATGGCTGCTTCTTCTCCCGTTGTTTCTTCAATTGTCCTTTGTCTTTGCTAACCACGAAGGTACGCATGCATGTTCAACTTCAATTCCAACTCAATTAAATATCCGTGTGTGTATATATATATATACAAGAATGTTCACGTCCTAACGTTCGGACCTGAGGGGTCATCCATCCGAACACCGCCGTTCGAGGGGTTCCCGGTGGAATTTTTTGATGAAAATTTTATGATATGAATTGCTCTATATAGTTGAATGAATATACTAAACAAATTGCTCTGAATAGGATTAAAAATGTCTTTGAATTCCAAATAAAATCGTATATTTTTATTACTTAAATATGAGTAATTACTGCAATATTTTGACATTACCAAGGCAGTTTTTTTAGGGTATTTACTTTTACTTAGGGAATAAAAATATAGTACTTGAAATTTTTTCTAATAATACATGGAAATTGATTATAGTATATGTACAGGTGATGTTTTGCATACACTGAAGGAGAAACTTGAAGATCCAAACAATGTTCTACAGAGCTGGGATCCAACCCTCGTTAATCCCTGCACTTGGTTCCACATTACCTGCAACAGCAATAATGAAGTTACAAGAATGTAAGTTAATTTGCGAGCAAAATATAATTTTTTTCTCAAATTGTACGGAGTATATATATGTTAGCTAGTTTTCCTCATTATTTTTGTGTTATGACCGCACACTCATGCGTAATTACAATTTACAAACCATTACTTTCAGTGATCTTGGTAATTCCAGCCTCTCGGGTGAACTGATTTCTACGGGTCTAGGAGGTCTTTCAAGTTTGCAGTACTTGTAAGTTAAATTGTTTTAATTCAGATCATCTCCTAATTATCAAGCTAGAATTGAAGCTCTAGCTAGGTTCAAATGAAATTTCGCGTATATATTTATTTAAATTGCATATATGCTGGACAAATAATTAAAGATAATCTGAGAATTTATTTGAATGTCTTCCCAATTGAATTGTTAGCTGCAATTTGGTATGAGTAAACTAGACTTAATGAATAAGATTCTCAAAAAAATTCATCAAAAAATTCCACCGGAAACTGCCCCAAATGGCGACGGCGAGATAGAGTCTCCTATATAAGGGATTATTTGACTTTTTTGGTTAGTACATGAGCTTATTTGTCCCTTTTTCCCTTAATGACATGCGGAGACACAGAGAAGTACTATAGGGCACGAATTGAAAATTTAAGCAACTTATGGTTGACTCACAAATTTTTCTTAATATTTAAAATATGAATTAATTTCACTTTTGGTCCTACGAGTTTTGTGCCAATTTCACATTTAATCCACGTCTTTCACTTTGTCCACTTTTTGTACTTGACAAATATTTTTTAGCCGTTTGTGGTCCTTTTCTTGCAATTTTGACCATCGGAAACAATGTTAGAAGGATCATATATGGCCAAAAACACAATAGTCATGTATCAAAAGTGAACAAAGTGAAAGACGTGAACTAAATGTGGAATTGATCTAAAACTCGTAAGACCAAAAGTGGAATTTATTCCTTTAAATATACTCCATAATAAACAACTGATGATCAACAATACTATTTGTTTGAGACTGAAAAGATTTGATCATTATAGAAATATACGAAGTATATTTATCGCACCGAGTATAATTAAGTGGATGCTTGATAGACATAAACTATTCCGTAAGGGAGGGAGTATGATTCTAAAATGCCTTAGTTGTATGTACGGTATAAAACTTTTTATGGGATGCTTTAAAATTTCAAGATGTTTTTGAGAAGCTACTATGGTAGCTTCTAAAACGAAGTCCGAACCTGCACGGGTAGTTTAGTTGGTTAAGTGATGGGAAAGTTGGATCATTGATTAATGATCGAAACTCGCAGTGACTTTGACATCTACGCACAGGTAGGTTACAGCTTCTGTGTGCTGGACTGAACGTCTGATGCGCACAGTACAAAGTCTACCACCATTGGGTTGACTGAGTCATCGTAACTTACAAATACCTTATCCATTCTCAAATTTTCTGTTTTCATAATTTTTAGGAGTTTTTTTCCGTATTAATGGTAATTAATTAAATAATTACGGAATTAATGTTGGGTTAAAACTATTTACCAATATACTGCTGTGATTAACTCTGGTCGGAGAAAGTTGCCAAACCGTTTGGTGACTTATAAGTTGCCATCCGGTTTGGCAACTTATAAGTCACCAAACCGTTTGGTGACTTTCCCCTTCCCAAATAACCCAAACGTTCTGTTTCAGACCGGCGTCGGTCAGGGCCCAACCGGGGTCGGTAGGGGGCGTCCCGGTGGCGAAAATTTGTGTTTTTCGTCCTAAATTGATCCCGATTATCGCAATTCACCGTTTGACGACTTACAAAACACATACAAAACACAATTTTGTAAAAATGATACAAAGCGAGAAACACAATTTGGTAAAAATGATACAAAATGATAAAAAGTATTAATAACACAATATCCATTAGTTTGCAGGTGAAAATATGTTAAAAAGTAAAGTGTTTCTACAAAATTTGGTGTACATTATTTCGTCCAATAATAGAGAGACTACAATTTTCATGGTCTTCTTTATCGTTTTGGTCATGGTCTCTTGGTCATCAATCAGCCATGGATCCACTGACACCTCCATAGTGCCTAGAAAAAATGAAAAGGGAGTCAATAATTAATAAATAACTTGAAATCATTATTTTATAATTCACATTACTATGAGTTGCGGAATTTAATAATTAAATACTTACGAAGTCGACCCCCCACCATCTCCTAAAGATCTCTTCGCACATGTGGCCCTATTATGACCGGTTTGTTTACATTTTCCACATCTAACCGTTCTTCGGGGACCTTCATCCATCTCATTCTTAATACGTGTGGACTTAGGTCTTCCCTTAGCCCGAAGCATGGATGGATCATGCACAATTTCAGGTCCATTGTAACTCGGCCAATAATCACGGTCGGGAATGGGTTTAAAGACTCTTTGATATGTGGCGGCGTATTGATCAGATGAGAAAAAAGGATCCACAAATGGATGAGAAGACAAACTACGTTGTCTGCACACGGCTAATACATGAGAGCATGGAATCTTATATATTTCCATCTTTTTACATGTGCAAGTACGCCGCCGCAGATGGACAGTTTGTTTTCTCCCACCCTTTCCCAACGTTCGGCCACCACATCCCGTTTCCACTTGGTATATCCCTCGGCTTATATCAAATAGAGTAACAGTGTGATGTTTGGCCTTCTCTCTATTCTTTTCAATCAAATCCGTGATGTATGGGAAGTAGTCGTGGCCATCTGTCACTCTTCATTTACCTGCATGTCGATTAGTAATGACACACAACTCCCTATCAGTCACAAACTCCCTAATGCATGCCATAAACCATAATCAACTCTCCTCATTCTCAGATTCAACAACTGCAAAGGCCAGGGGAAATAATTGGTTGTTCGCATCACTACCCATAGCCACGAGCAATGTACCCTTGTACTTCTCATACAAGTGTGTGGCATCAATAGTAAGTACGGGTCAACAATGCTTAAAACCATGTATTGAAGGCTTGAATGCCCAAAATACTCTCTGAAACTGCATATAACATGTTGGAGTAATAGGGGTGGGTACCAGTGAACAACAGTTCCAGGATTGGAATGTTGGAGTGCTGTCATGAAATGGGGCAATTCAGAATATGACTTCTCCAAACCGCCAAAAATTTCTGCAATGGCCTTCTATTTGCCCATCCATGTTCTCCTGTATGATACCGTATACCCATACTCTTCCTTCAGCATCTCAATGATAGTATGCAGTTTAAGGGAAGGATCAATGCGAAGAATGTCAATAACATCTTTAGCAATGAAATCAGAAGTCATCGCCACATGATCAGTACTGTCGGTGTTGCCAACATAGGTAGCAAAATGAGGTCCAGGATAACGCACAACTGTGAAGCTGTCGAGGTTGCCTTTGTTCTTTGTGGCGCGTATTCTCCAGGGGCAATCACACTCCTTCTTCGTCTTGCACTCTGCAACCCATTTGTGTTTATCGGACTCCAGCACCCGATAAAATTGGTTCCGTTTAATAGAATACAAGCTCACCATATTGATGACTTGTTCTTTGTTGTCAAACTGTTGACCAACCTCAAATTCACCTTCGGGTGTAAACCTTTTCATACCTGATCCACTTATCCACACATCAGTAAAGCCTTTAGGGAGATCATACATTCTAGTAAAGTGGCTAGACGTGGCAGTTGCCGTGACAATATCACCATCATCTTCATCAGATTCTGTCATGCCATCACCATTGATGTTCTCGTCAGCATCATCATCACTAGCCTGCCCATCCACAAATGAAGCACCATTGTGCAAATACACACCCTCTTCTTCTATAACCATGTCCAGTACAACAGCATTTGAGGAGTTCCGTGCATTGACACCTGTATTCACACCATGCCTAGATACAACATCATTTGATGTTGACGGAGTTGTAGAAGAGTCATCTATGGATTGCTCAATGTAAATCTCCAGCGAGGACATACTCTCCATCTAAATTAACGACCACATATTTGTGACAGCTAGCTCATCAACAAGTGGCATAAGCATGAAATTTCCCCCGTTAAGGGGAAATTTCATTTTCAATCGCAAAGAACGGCTCGGAGGAATCATCGTAGCAACATGTATTTTTTGAAGCATCTCGAGCAAACATGCGCCACGAGAAACAATGACAAAGCTGCTTCTACCACCTTCATGGCGTATTTGGCTAGCATCCTCATAATAGTTCTCTCCCCAATGATACATGATTGGGAAGTTGGAGAAATCCATTTTCTAATAACAATACATGACGATAATGGATGAATACACATTAATATACACAATTTACAAGATTAAAATTCAACATTTCATACATATTCACATTTCACAACAAACCAATTGACAAATCAATTCCTACTTTACAAATTCGAAAATTATGAATTGAAACCCTAGGTTGAAAAATGAGATGAAATTGGGGATTTGATGTACCTAGAGGTTGAAAAAGATGATTGGGGAGTGTATTTGGTTGGTGGAATGGCCTCCTAGTAGCTGTAGTCGCCGGAAACCGTTGCTTCAGTGGCTCTTCGCCGGACCGAAGTTTCTTGCTGCTATCATTCTCAGGGCCGGTTTTAGGGGCATTTACCCTAGACAAATGTCTAGGGCCCCAAAAATTGAGGGGCCTCCAATTTTTTAAGTATACATAGTTGTATTATATCTATATTTAATTTAAACTCTAAATAGTTTTCAATTTTGAAACTTACGCCAGTGATTTTCCAAGTCCACACTTGAGGCTTTTAAATTTACGACTTTAGCACCTTGATGCCTATCACATCCTTCTACACATTTATGATTTGATTTCTAACTATTTTGTCTATTATTTAGATTTGTTACGGTTCTTAAATTTTGATGCTTATTATATTATTTATTCATTTAGCTTTTAGTTATGCAAATAAATTGATTTAAATAAGTCGTTGAATATGTGTGTTTCAGAAGTCGTAATAGTAACTTGATATAGTTTTTCATGATTTGATATCATTAAGCTCTGAGAATGAATTTTCCATTTTTTAGTTGTGGTATCATTTAGTTGGGGAAACTCAATTTTTTAATCTTTTATTAGTTGTGAAATTAGTTTTGTTTAGATTTTTTTGTGCTACCGATTAATTAGTTTTTAATAAATAACATTTTCTTATTTATCGAATATATGCTTATTTGGTGATACTTCATTTTCGTTGAATATTTGTTTATTTTTTGCTACCGATTATTTAGTTTTTAATCGCATTCGGGGATTTAGTTTTTTATCGATCTATCAAATATTTCCTTATTTATTATCACATATTTTTCGTACAAAATTATATGTTTTGTGATTAAGGAAAAACAAAACACAATTCATGTTACACAAATAGAAAGAATAAACTAAGAAAAGACTTGATTGTAAATCATTTACCGGTTGGCCGGCTATATAGATCAATAACCCAAGTAAGCACAATCTATATTCTCCCACAAACATTGTTGAGAAAAAGATATAAATCTCGTTTTTGCGAATGATGAGTGTGAAGAAGTAATCTCCTTACATTTGTTGGGTTAATGGCCCAACAAGGGCCGGCCCATCAACCCCTAAGGACCGTACGAGAGCATCAGGCAACGAGTCCAAAAGGAAGGCTAAGACTAAGGGACATACGTAGCCCAGCATAGCCAAGCTTCAGGGCCCAAGGGCCAGGGGACATACGTAGCTCAGCATGACCAAGCTCCAAAGGGTTAAGGGACGTACGTAGCCCAGTATGGCCAAGCTTCAGGGCCCAAGGGACAGGGGATGAACGTCTTGTGGGTTACCACCCAAGGGTTCAGGCTGCCACCAGAGGGTTGAGTCCAGTCTGGGGGACGAACGTCCCCACGTCATGGCGGGAAGCCAAGATCCTGGCGGGAAATGCATTAAATGCGGGAGATTTGGTGGTTGGGATCATGTCGCTCACAGCCAACCACGTCAGCCCCCCAAACACCATGGGGTACTATAAATAGTCGCATTTATTTCATTGGGAGGGGTTCACACATTGACTCTCTAGCATTGTAATAGCAATAACAGCTCATAGCATAGCTTAGTACGTCCGGCCCTTCGGCTTGTAATCGTTGAAGTGAGTAAAATACAATTATTGGCCCATTCCCCGTTGTTTAGTGATTCTACTTGTCCTTCACCCATTCGAAACCCCCAGGTTACGTGTTGGGCCTGCGGGTTGAGGGAATAAACTTCAACAACATTAATAATATATTATGCATTTTGTGTGTAATTTAATTACTTACACAACATATTGAAATGAAATATAAAACTAAATTTGATTTGATTGTCTAGGGCCTCAAAATTGTTGTAGACGGCTCTGGTCATTCTATCTGGTTTTGCAAGGTCTGACCGCAGCTTATTAAAGAACAAAGTCGTCAAACGGTTTGGCGACTTATAAGTCGTCATCCCGTTTGGCGACTTATAAGTCTCCAAACCGTTTGGCGACTTACCCCGACCATGGTTAAACCCAGTAGTAAATCGGTAAATACTTTTAACCCAACATTATTTTCGTAATTAATTAATTAATTAGTATTAATCCGGGAAAAACTCATTTTTTAGGCGCGTCCAAGTGCCTCAAAATCAAGTGCTCCAAATTTCTATACTTTTTAGGCCTACCTGTGTGCCTTAGGTTAGCTAGTAGAGAATTCGCATGTATGCAAATTCTCAACAGAGATGAATTCTTTTAGTATGTTTTTCATTAAGTCTAGTTTATCTACATCAAAATTCAACTAAAAATTCAATCGGAAAGACAGTCAAATAAATTTTTGAAAAGAACTGTGCTTTACATGTATGTTTTGGCATAGCTGTCTTCAAAAAAAATTATCGTCCTACTTGAATTTTAAGCTGAAATTTGGCGTGGATAAACTAGATTTGATTTTAAAAAATGACCAAAAAATCATCAAAAACTTTCAATGGGAATCACCCCAAACAGCGGCGACCGAATGGAGGGTCCTATGCATCCGGCTGGGCAGGATCATTTAAATGGATAATCCGTATGTAAACGGATCAGATCGACTGAGGTCTAAAAAATAAATCACTTCGTCTACATGAGTCGCATCACCCGTGAATCAATTCGAGTAGCTTGGGGCATGTTTACTAACATAGATATTTTCCAGTTTTCTATTTCTGTTTTCTATTCTCAAATTTTCTGTTTTCATTTTTCAGTTTTTCTATCTCCAATTTTCTGTTTCATTTCTTAATTTCCCATTTTCAAATCTGAAAACATGTTCATCAAAATTTTCACCCGGTTCTGTAATCGACCATAAAAGCGAAAGTACGGATGGTAGCGGTCCAGACCAAACCTCTTACAACTCAACTAAGGGACCAAGTCCCACATGTAGGAAAGTTGGGATCGAAACCGGTTGGTCTCGATCGCAATGGTTAGTTTGGTAAATTCTTTTCTCATTTCCCTATTGGATGACAATTCGACGGCTTTTTTAAAAGTCTTCACTTTTGAAATGATTTCAAAATAATGAGATCGAACCACCGGGTCGTTGACCGGACCGGACAGGGACCGTCGAGTCATTGACGGGACTAGACCGGAAGCGCCCAGTTATCGATCGGACCGAACACAGACTGTCAGGTAATTTTTCGGATAAGATAGAGACCACCAGGCCGTTGATCGGATAAGACGAGACTGTTGGTTGGTTGACCGGACAGAACGAAGACAGCCGGGTAGTTGACCAGACCGGACAAGGCTGTTGAGTCATTGACCAGGCCATATTGGACCCGGGCTGCACGACCGTCCACCGGATCAACAAGTACCAATGATCGTGGATCGGACCAAACAGGGACCATCAGGTTATCACGGGCCGAACAAGGACTGTCAGGTCGTGGAGCGGACCAGGATCGTCGAGTCATCGACCAGATCGGACCGCGATCGTCGGGTCATCGATCGGATCAGACAAAGAATACAGGGTCGTGGATCAGACTAGATAGGAGTCGTCGGGTCGTGGACTTGACCGGACCAGACTGAACTGTCAGGTCATTGACCGGACCGGACCGGGATTGCTCGGCCGTTGACCGAATTGACAAGGACCGTCAGGTCAATGATCGAATCAGATAGGGAGATCAGATCATTAGCCTGACCGGACTAGAATTGACACCGGAGCCGAATCGTATCCACCACCACGCTTAGAAAACAACACGACAAGTCGACAACCAAAGTGTCGGTCCAAAGTCGGGTGTACCAGTAAATCAACAACAGAAACTCAAAGAAAGATGCGAACAGAATGAAGCCGATGAATGGAATCAAAGAAGAGTAATGTCGGAGACAGCAAAGCCACTCACCTTCGCCGCGATCGAACGCACCGATCTGGAGGTCGGCGCCACTCTGTTCGCCGCTAGGGTCCACACATCATTGTTCCCCGATTTTTTTTATTGAAAGAGACATTAGATACTAATTTTGGATAGGAGTTCTGTCATATTACTATTAAAGGAACGGTTAAACATGAAAACTATTGAAATGATAATGAGTTTAATGCATAAACCTCCTCATGAAATATAAATTCGGCGCATTAGTTCGTCGTGATTAAAAAAATGCATCAAACCCTCACGTTATAGTTATTCATGCGCAAGGTCCCCTTATATGAACAAGTTTAATTGCCAAATAAATGAAAAATAATTAGTATTTTTGTATATTTTAGAAATATTGACTAAATCAATTGCATATTCAATCATATTATTCAGAAAAATGATTTCAAATTTGTAAAAAAAATTCTTGAAGAGGATTTTGTGCATCAATAATTATAACACATGGGGAAGGGGGGAGTCTGACACATTTTTTAAATCACGATGAGCTAATGCGCAGAATTTATATATCATGAGGGGATTTGGTGCATTAAACCCAAATTATAATAAATACATTGCAATTTTAAATATTAAAATTTTGTCTGCCCAATAATGCCGATAAAACGATTTATCCTTTACAATTCTTATAGATTTTTCCATAAGTTCAAACTTAACTTTAAATTTTCCTTTCCGATAAAGCGAATTAGTCTACAATTTTATAGAGATTTATCCTTAAAATTTTACTTAATTAATAATTATGAAAAAATACGACTTAAATTACTTCATAATTCCACTTAAATCATCAATGTAACTACGATATACATATATCTTAATATCAGCATATATAGTCACTAAAATTTTGATTACTCTCACTAAAGTATATAAAAGCGCATTTATCTCAATTGTATTTTTACCTTAGTCATATACATCTCATTATACATCAATATATTTATAGAAAAAAATAATCTAAATATCCCAAATTTTGAAAGGGTGTGAGGTAAGTACCCCAAACTTGTATGTGTAATATATACATCTCGAATGTAAATGTATTTTTGTTTCACAAATGTAAATGTATGTTATTAAGTACACAATTTAAAATATTTAGCATTTCATGATGATACAATTAATATTCTACACCTTCATTGCGAAATAAATAATTTTATCCCAATCTATATCATTCCAACGCTTTTAATTTTCTATTTGTCATTGCACGACTTTGTTTATTAACATATTTAATTGATTTTTATATTATTCACACACTCTACTTTAACTTTACATTATCCATTGATGTATTAAACAATTTTCTTATACTTCGTCAGGGGCGGAGCCAGGACACTGGGCCGGACTGGGTCGGTACAAAGAATATTTTTAGAAAAAAATTTACACAAGATTTTTTACCTTAAAAATTAAGTCATTTTTAAAATTTGGGGTGGGCCATGGCCTAGGTTGGCCCACCCCTAGCTCCGCCCATGTACTCCGTATAAAACATTATAAAAATTCCCTGGTTAAAATGTTAAAATATGACTTTTAAAACTCTTCGGTTTTTACTAATGGTGATCATTGTTAATAGTCAAAGTCATGTAGTGATAAATATCAAACCAAGAGTGTTGCAATTATATGTGTAGATTGAGGAAATATTATTTTTTTTGTTAAAAAGTTAGAATGTTAACGGCATTATCATAAATGATAAATGTATTTAAAGTATTTATGATTTATCTATGACCGCATATTTACATTTGTGGAAGAAAAATCATTTCAATATGAAATGATGCTAGCATAAGTTTTTATATAAAGTTTCGGGATATTTATTTCACATATGTAAATTTGAGATGTTTATCTCACAAAATTTGAGATACTTCACTTATTTTCCCTTTTATTTATTTAATTTAATATACTCATGATTATTTTCATATTCTTTCAGGGAGCTCTATAGTAACAGTATATATGGCTCGATTCCATCAGACCTCGGCAAACTAACAAATTTGATCAGTTTGGATCTCTATTACAACCAATTGAGCGGTACCATCCCTGGCAATTGGGGAAATTTAACAAATCTAAGATTCTTGTACGTTGAGATTTGTTGTTTTTTCTAAACTTCTATTTATCGATCAACTTTTTTTTAGAAATCACCCAATTTCTTAACTTTTTCTAGTAATCACCCAATCTCATTTTATGATCCGAATTATGTATAATTGAAAATAAATAAGGTGATAATTATTTCTCATTGAATTTGCAGAAAAGGACAATTTTACCTGTTCTATATCATATTAATAAAATAATATTTTGATAATTTTACCATATTCATTATTTCAAATTGATTCAACCAATTTACTCCTTAGTATTGAATTATTACTCCTTCCGTAACATGTTTGTTTTTCGAAAATATTTATTAGTTCTACTGTTTCCAATTTATCGATTTTCTCACCTAAAAATAAATAAATATTTTCAACTTTTCTACGTATTCTTCTCTTTTTCATATCTTTTGACACCTATTTTTTTCTCATTCGTTTACATTATTTACAACTGATACTATTTCACTCCTAAACACCTTATACTTATTACTAAATGAGTATATACAGAGTTTGAACTATTGTCCTCCACAATAAAATGCTTATATTTTGAACACGTTTGGTAACACTGAGCCGTTTAGTAACACTGAGTCAGTTTTATAACATTAAAATTAGATGAATCGGCTGGATTTATTTAAATTTATGAAATTCTGTCTGAAATATCTGACTCAGCTAAATTGTGGCAAAATTATATTTATAATATATTTTGTTATTAATAAAATTAAGAACAAATTATATGAAAAAATAAGTCAAATGGTGCTCAACAGTAACTTCAGTCAAATCAGTTAGGAAAGTAACTTCAACTTTGTTTGTTTTGATCATCACACAATTCAGCGTGCAAAGTCAAAAACTCCGTATTTGGTAAAAAATTGATTGATAAAGATGATAAGCTGAAAATAGGGGTTACAAACAGCCTCTGAAATTGGCTCAATTTGCTGAAATTCATGAAATCCTAACTGAATTAGTTGATCTAGCTGAATCTGTTGAATTATGAAAAAATTATATTTAAAATATATTTTATTAATAATAATAAATAAAAATTATATGAAAATAGTTAAACTGATCGTCAACAATAACTTTTTGTCTATATTTATAAAATGATTTCAATAGAAAAATAATTTTCTTATATTTTGTTTGTATATATTTTTTCTTCTACTATTAAATGTCAGGGTAGAAAACAAATTATAATCACGGACAGGTATAGGAGAGGTGACCACCCCTTGAACTTTCAAAATTTTCTATTATATATGTTATATTTTCGTAAAATTCTCATATTTTAGTTAGCTATATACCTGCTCGCCCCCCTTAACTCTTAATTTTCAAAATTAATATATACTCTTACATAATATAATACTTAGTAAGAGATTTCAATGGAAAAACATCTAAAATAATTTATCATTATTTGGACTAATAATTAGATAATTATTACTCGATTTAATAAAAAATCAAACAATATTAAATATCATACCCACTGGTTAATCATATTTTAGATATTATGAAGTGAATCATAAATATAAATGTTTGTGTGACATTGAATTACCAATTCATTTCCTTCTTACTTTTTAAACATAATTTATATTACAGATAATAAGCTATAACTTAATATAGTATTAATAGTTTAATACAAATATAATATGCACCACCTATATGAATTAGAAACACAATATCACTGCTATTTTAAAAATAAAGAATCTCATACATATTAATGTGAAATTAAGAAAACTTCTCGTGACTAACGATCACTCTTTGTAGACAAAACGTGTAATTCAAAAATAAATTCTTTATTTCAATAAAAGTCATACGCCTAAACAAGAAATAAATTATTCATAAAGTATTGGTGGATGTGTACCTTTAAGATTATTATCTTCAAACGATTTGATACAATTCTACCCTTTATTATTTTCAAATAATTTTCCTTTGACTTTTCATTTCTTAAGCTTTAATGTACCAATACTTTTTTTTAGAGCATTTCACTTATGCAATCAAAGTTATTTTTCACATTGTGTAAACTTAGAGCATAGTAGATTCAAGAGAAAAGTGTCACATTGGCCCTCATAATTTGTACGGAAAGTCAATTCAACCCTCGTACTTTAAGTTTCATCAATTAGGTCCTCCTACTTTGTAAATTTCATCAAAACCGACTTTTAGCAGGTAACCCACTAGTCAGCAGGCTACTTGCTGATGTGGCGCACACGTGGCACACACATGGCCGGACACATCACATGTGTGGTGTCCATAGCACTTTTTCTTTTCTTTTCCCCTTTCTTTTTTCCATTTCTTTCTTTTCTTTCCCTCCATCTTTCTTCTTCTCCATCGCAGCAGAGGTCGCAGGGCAGGTGAAGAGTAGCCGCCGAAATTGAAGGTGCTCGGAAAACTAAACTAAATATATGAGGAGGTGTGCCTCTTCAAGAAAACCTCATTTACGTATTCTGTATTTTCCGACCGAACCCTGAAGTCGCCGGAAAAAATGCCGAAGGAGTCCAAAAATGAGAAAAAAGAGCAGATACCGGCCAGCTATACTACAAACCAGCCCCCAAAACTCATTCTCACCTGCTCAAAATTGATATGGAGAGTCGTCCCTAATTAGATAACTCTAATCTAGTCTCAAAAATAAAAAACAATCACCTACATTTGAGTTATGAGCAAAAACCGATCTCCGAAATAACAGTGTTTTCGGCGATATTTGCCGGTCATAGGCGGAGTAACAAAGAAAGGGGGTCGGGAAAGAGACAACACCAAATAAAGAAAGACAATCGCAACAAGATTCCATGGATGAATTGTCATTTGCAAAGAAAATGATGTTTTGCAGGTTTGGAGGAGGAAGAACGATGGGGGAAAGGGGGATCCGGGAAAGGAAAGGAAAAGATACCCGCACGGGTAGCTCAGTTGATCGAGTGGTGAGAGATTTGGAACAATGGACCAAGGTTCGAATCCCCGCAGCAACCGGGTGGAGGTCACAGAACCTGAAATAAGGCTGGGTCTCTGGTGCGCACGGGTGTATGGGCCTACTGCCATTCTGCTGACTGAGTCACCGTGACTAACTTCCCCACCATCCTGTCGGGTCGGGGTGGGGGGCTCCTAGGGTGGGAGATTCCACCTTTGGAACAAAGGAAAGGAAAAGAAAGGAGTAAAAGGAAAGGAAAAAAGTGATGTGGTCTCCACGTGTGGTGTGTCACACCACGTGTGTGACACATGTGCGCCACATCAGCAGGTAACCTGCTGACTGGCAGGTTACCTGCTAAAAGTCGGTTTTGACGAAAATTACAAAGTAGGAGGATCTAATTGATGAAACTCACAGTATGAGGGTTGAATTGACTTTCCATACAAACTAGGAGGGCCAATCTGACACTGTTCTCTAGATTCAGGTATCGTGTATGTAATAATGTAATTTGTTTGAATAATAGAAGGGAAAATTCCCGAAATAGGAGTAAAAAGATTTGAAAATTTCAAAATAGCACTGTTGATGGAGTATATGGCCCGGGAACCCTCGGCCCACAGACTCCCACTACTCCAACAAAGGCCCAACAAGCCCAAGAAGCATTGCAGGCCCAAAATTATAACGCCCCAAGCACAAATCAACCCTCAAGGCACACTAGGGTGCCCTCGGCCCCCTGACCGAGGGCTCCAAACTATCACAGCATGGATATTTCGAACAAACTAAGAAATTGGGGGAAAAACGGCAGAAAACAGTAGCCCTCGGCACCTGGAGCCCTCGGCACTCAGGTGTCCTCGGCACTAAGAGCCCTCGGCTAGTCCTCTGCAGCCGAGGGCACCTCTCCCGACATAATATCCGCGCCACATGCGTACAGATCACCGTACCCTGTACAACGTCCCATCCAACAGCCGCATTAAATGCGGACACATGCGGCTGCCAGCGCCAACCAGTTGAGGTGACCTCTCGGCCAATGGGCGCTTGACACGTGTCCCTATCCGACATTTATTGCTACTATAAATAGCACCCCATTTCCCCATTTGTAACCACGCTGAAAACGCTCCACGCTTTGCAATACACTTTCTCTCTCTATATTTACTTGCTCTGACTTCTCTCTAAGTTATTCTCAGCAATAACCCCTCGGATAAGCTACCCCCCGGGTACACTATCCATCATTTGGTGCTCTCGTTGAGAGGTCGAACAATCAAGTAAGAAACCCTCCCCCTTCGCCAAACACTAGCCCTCTACCAAAATGGTGAGAACAACACGTGCCAACTCCAAAAACGTGGAAGACAAGAACCTGGCCCTCGGCGACGTCAACGCCCCCGAAGCCTCTCACATGGCTCCCGAGGGCGGTGTCATCGCTGGGCTGGAACAGGCGGCTGTCAACCTACGCCTTCAGATCCAACAGAATGCCCCTGATGCCCGCCTCGGCATCGAGGCCCTGAAGAAAAACCGGAGCGATGACCAAGTCAGCCCTCCGGTTCTCACCATCGACGTTCATTCGGCGCTCTCCGCCTTCATCCAGACGCTCACTCAGAACCCAGGTGCCTTTGGCACCCTGGCTCCGGCTCAACCCCAGGTTGGGGAGAACATCATACTCCCCCATCTGCCACACCCCTTCGGAAACCCCATCCCTCGGGTTAGGAACGACGAAGGGGTAGTGGCCCAAGATACGGCCTCCCAGGAAGTTCAGTCCCGGGACCGCCACAATGACAACAGAGAAAGGCCCCGCACTTCCGCCCTCAACCGGCTCGGAGGAGGGCAAGACCGCCTCGGAGGGAAAGCACTCCAAAGGCCCCAGGAAAGCGGAGGGTCTGTCTCGAAGGCAGACGAGGAGTGTCCCCCTCGGGACAAAGGCAAGGCACCCCTTCATGCCGACGATGCTCGCCACCAAATCAATCAGGCCCACTCGGCCCGAGTTCGTTCGCAGGGGGCGGAGACCCTCCCGAAGGACCCCCGGGACGAAATTATTGCGGCCCTCCAACGCCGACTCGATGAAATGGAGGCCGACAAAGCTCACGCCACCACCTCCACCCCTCATTCGGACCTCAAATACGAGGC